AAACGTAATTGCAGTCTCTCTCGTTGCAAAGTATCTTGTAGACAACTGCATGGGTTTCAGTAGGAGGCAGTCTGTCCTTAGGTTGCATCACACGCCGGCATATTGTCACCTGTGGTCGATGGGCTACGTCTACGCCAGCAGGTTGCAAAAGTCGTGAGACTGCTTCAGAGACCCCTTTTATGTAGGTAGAATACACTTTTTAATACAAGCGTAGAAAGTAGGATGTATTGAATTCAACAAATTTCGCGAGGGCTTTTCAATTGTATCTCGTCTTTGCATGAGGCAGATAACGATTAGAAGCATACAGCAAATTCATTTTCACAGAATGTCAAGGTATAACAGCAAGGGTCATAGTTTAGTGTACATACTAATCAACTGAAACAAACTACATTAAATTAGCCCATAGGGAGAACAGTTGGAGAAAGTTGGCCCAGCCAAGTCGTGATTTAAACTAACTGCCCAATTAACAGGTTAACTGGAGATGGATCAATTGGTCTGGCTGCTTGCATAGGACGGGTTTCTGCCGCCGCATATAGGCCGCTTCCAAGTAGCACAGGATCCGATTCGTTTGTGCTCGTACATGGACTCGGAAAGCTGTTTTGAAGTCGAACGAGTGACCTCCGTCTAACAGGTGTGTAGTAATCGAAAATCCTAGGACTCTGTCTTCTTGTTTGAGAAGCCAATAAGGCAAGTGTTCAGAGGCCCTGGCTGCCAGGTGCCTTTGCGTACGCCTAATGTACTTGCATCCGCAAAGGCACGTGGATTTATAGATGTAATTTGATTTAGCGGGCAATAGCAAGGCGTCCTTTACCCCAGTTACAGGAAGGCTTTTAGTAGGACTGATGACTACGAGTCCAACTGCGTTGTACGTCAATTCTGTGGTGCAACGCAACAAGCGTTTGTTCGTATTCGAACAGCTAACACAATAAATGGATAAGGATATAATTACGTGCATCCTGGAACTGACTGCTCCGTCAATTGTGAGCGTAAAAGATTGCTATAGATTTGCATGAAGCGTGCAGGATAGTCATGGTTAAGCAGGGCCGCTTTGATGGGAAAAACCCCTGCAGGTAGACTCTCACTAGAGCAAATATTCTTAGTTCTTTGGGAGAATCTATGTACAGGGCTTTTTAACGAGCTTCGTTCTGACCACTAACAAAACGTACGCAGAGTAAAGGGTAACTACTTAAATAGTATGCTTTTTTATCATTGATTTTGACTGGTCATCTTAATTCAAACATATTCTATGAAAAACATGAACAAAAATATTTGTTGTACTCGTTTGGTAGCAAAGTATGCCTTCTTTAAAGTTTACAGTTTAAGAAAGCATATCTTTCGATTTAAAAAAGTTTATAAATTGCCGAAAATTTTGAAACCTACTGACTGCTACACTCGAATTCAAGATTTACAAACTGCG